TTGGTAGGGTGGAGGGACAGTGCAGGAGGGGAAGACCCTCTATGAGGTGTATTGATTCAGTGACTGGGGTAATGTGTCAGAGGCAATGCAATTGGCACAGGATAGAACAGGGTTTAGGGCTGTTGTACATAGGGTCGCTATGAGTCGCAAGCGATTTGACGGCACATAACAACAACAACCAAAGCAATCTACATGTTTAACACATCCCAGTAAAGATACCAAATTAATTTTTCAAAGAGATAGAAAAGGCAATTGGTAACTTTATTTGGAGAGGAGAGACTTGAAATAAGCAAAGCACTTCTGAAAAACAGGAATGAAGTAGGAAGGGAACCCTGGTGGCCTAGTGGCAAGACGCTGCAGTGCAATCTCCAAGGCACATGGTTGGAACCCACCAGATGTTCCCTGGAGGAGAAGGGGCAATCTCCTTCTGTGCCAGTTATATCAGATTTGATGGTACACAGTGATGGGGGTGGCGTGGAAGAATGAAGTAGGCATAGCACTCCCTGATCTCAAAACCTACTACATAGCTATAATAACCAAAACAGTATGGGACTGGTACAATGACAGGCACAAAGACCAATGGAACATAATTGAGAACCCAGAAATTAACCTGTCTATCTTCAACTGCTTTTCAACAAAGAAACAAACCTATCAAATGGGGAAATGACAACCTCTTCAACAAATGGTGCTGTGCAACTGGGCTGCTTAACTGTAGAAAGAATGAAGCACGATCCACACCTCTCTCCATATAAAAATCAACTCAAGGTGGATCAGAGACCTAGGAATAAAGTTAAACCCATAAAGATCATAAGACACAAAATTGGATCAAGCTCAGAAGGCATACCCATGGTATAAAAAGGCTGACAAATACAGCCAGAAATTCACAACCATGAGAGGATAAACTTGATGAATTGGACCTTCTAAAGATTAAATCCCTGTGCACAACAGAAACATTTTTCAACAGGGTGAGAAAAAAACAAAACACACTTACTGAATGGGAAAGAAACATTTGTTAATACCATCTCTGACAAGGGTCTCATACATCAAAAGTTTACAGAATCCTACAGGGCTCCCACAAGAGAAAGACTGATAACAAAATTATGAAATGGGCAAAAGACATGGAAAGACTTTTCAAAAAGGAAAACATTCGGATGGCCAACAGACAAATAAAGAAATGCTCAAAATCACTGGCACTATGAGGAATGCAAATCAAAACCACAATGAGATACTATCTTATCCCAGTAGCAGTGACACAGTTTAATAGGATAGAAAGCAAGAAATGCTGGAGCGGATGTGGAGAGATAGGAACTCTCAGAAACTGTTAGGAAAATGGTTCAACTACTCTGGAAGACAGTTTGGCATTTCACCAAAAAATCTGAACATAGAAATTCCACATGAACCAGATATTCCACTGCTTGGAATATAACCTGAGAAAATGAGAAATAAGGCAAAAAATAGAGATTTGTACACCAATGTTCATAGCAGTGTTATTCACCATCGCAAGAAGATGGAAACAGCCCAAATGTCCAACCAAAACGGAATGGATTGAGAAATTGTGGTATGATGGAATACTATGCAGCTCTCAGGAACAATGATTTAAAAAGTTATTATGTAACTTAGGAGGATTGGAGAGCATTATGCTAAGTGAACTAACTCAGTCTCATAAGGACAAATATTGTACAAGACAGACCATTGTTGTAGAAATAAAAAGGTAACTAGTAAAACATGTACGAAGATGCAAGAGAGGGAGAAGAGGAGTAGAGGGTTGAAGGTGGGCAAGGTGGAAATCACAGGGTCATACAATGTGGTGGGTGGAGGGAGGGGTGGGTAAAGGAAATGGGAAAGATCTGGTGGGGATTTGGAAAGAAAGAGTAATGGTGGATATAGTTCAATGTTGATTAATTTTATAAAATATAATGAATGGGAATGATTATATGAAACACAATATGAAAGAAGGATACTGTGAAACATAATGTTTACATACTTTGTAAGCAAATCAATGTAAAATAAAAATTTATTTTTTGTTATTTTAAAAAAAAACTTCCCAAAACTTGTTTTGCCAAACGTAAACTAGTAATACATTCTAATTCCAGTCATCCATTACCTTCTTCCTTTATTGATTTAGAGAAACTAGGGCTGCTATCTTGTCCCATCTGAGATGGTCTACTTTCCGGATGAAGTTCCTCTTCAATTCCACTTTCAGACGATTGCCCACTTAATGTTCCTTCATTGCAACTTTTACAGTTTTCATGTAAACTGTGTCTCACAGATAGTATTGTTTCTGATTCTATAGTTCCATCAAGGTTGTTTCCATTGCAGAATTTAGATGGTGGACAATGCTGTGATATGAATCCAACAAACTTCATTCCTCTTTTAGCAGCTACATTAAGCTGAAGTGTAAGAAGAGATGAAAGAACACATGTAAAATATTGCTTACATTGATTGTATCAATTAACCTCTAGGTTTGTTGATGTAATCTGTTAGGAGTCTTGAGCAGTAACTAAAGATCATGCACAAACTATTTAAGACATCCTGGTGGTACAGTGGTTAAGCACTTTTCTGTTAAATGAAATGCTGTCAGTTTGATTCCACCAGTAGTTCTATAGAAGAAAAGTTAAGGACAACGTGCTCTTGTAAAGATTACAGACTAGGAAGCTACAAGGGATAGTTCTACTCTATCATATGGGGTCACTGTCAGTTTGAATCAACAGAATACCACCATCACAACTACAGCAACAGAATAGTAGGTATAAATAATTCATTGTTCATCACCAACAACATAAAAGAATAGGACTTTTTTGTATCTGGAAGGTACAAATAATTCAATTGCTTAACAAGTTCACTCACAGGCACCCCAGAAGAAAGGTCTAATGATCCACTTCCAAAAATCCAGTCATTAAAAACTTAGGAACATAATTTTACTCTGACACACTTGGGTTTGCCAAGAGTTGGAACTTACTCAGCAGCAAATGGTTTAGTTGGTAGTATAATACCCTATACTTAAACCTATGTCACACTTACACCATACCTTCTTGAAACAGACCTGAACACTTGTATAACTTTCATCTTTTCTCTAAGTTCATAGAGTTTCTGGAGGTGAGCTATTTCAGAAGTGGATGTCACATCTGTTTCCAAGCCTGTTTTAATCTGGGAGCTCCACCAAACACTGTCCACTATGGGTAACCATTATCACATTGGACACATCAGTGTCACAGTGCTTAGCATCACAGCAACCACAGTTACCTCTGTACAGCAAATTGACAGAGCAGTGCTATACCACTTAGAAGAATGTTTGAGCAAAGACAATTAAAACCAGGCCTGCGGGCCATGGATTAAAGCTACCCACCTTTGGCTTGGTAGTAGAAGTTTCTATCCACTAGACCAACTGAGCTCTCTCTATACTTTAGAAAAAGGAGTAGCACGAGGATGGCCATATTTGACCTCTACTAACTTCACAAGGGAGAACTGTCCCCATTAACAGCATTTACAGCACAAAACCAATTCCCATGAAGTCAACCATGTCTCTCACATTCCCATTCCTACTTCTACTAATTTTAATACCAATCCCACTACTCCTACGTGGTCTGAAATCTGTTACAATAGCTCTGCAGACACACAGAAACATACTCATGATTATGGGGTTTTATTAGAGAGATTAACAGGTTACATTTCAGGATGGCAACAGGAATACAATTTCTCAGTCAGGATGGCTTCTGAAGTGTGCTTGCAGGCTCTTCAGTCATTAGCCTTGTGGTCTTAGGCTAGTGTTACAAAACTCTTAGTCCTGCTAATTAAGGTGTCTTCCCACATCTCTTCCCTCACAGTCTTCCAGCAAGCTTGGGCCAAGGCCCCTGGTTCTGGTTCTGTGGGGAAGCAGGCCTAGGTCTACTCCATCTCACAACAGGTCTCTGGTTCTCTGCTGTGGCTGCGGCTGCTTCCCTGTAGTTCTGGCTGGTGCAAAAATCTCTGTCCCTTAAGGGCATGTACCACATTGTCCACTTCTTTGCTGGGGGTTCAAATGCCCAAATTTCTGCTGGTGACCCCACTCAATTTAAATCTGGTGGAATGGTGACCCTAGTGAATCCCTTGCTGGATAGACTAAGATATCTATTTGCATGCATGTTCCTGTCTGGCCATTTGGCAAAATAGACTAGGAAAGCCATTTTGAATAACAGACCCACAACACTGCATTACCAAACAGATCTTCCTTGACAAAGAACAGAATTATTCATTAAGAAACAAAAACCAAAACAAGTGAGCACAAATCACTTTTCAATACATATGGGTAGGCTTCTGGGTAAAATGATGATTAGACAGGCAGGAGATAAAACCCTCTTCAACCAAGGTGCTACAAAACAAAGATAGCAGATTTGGGTGATAGTTATTGATCCCTAAGTGAAAAAGGAAAAGATAAACTATTTCAAACACAGATTGAAGGAAGAAACTAATGAAAATAGTGAATAAGGAGATTTGTGGCTGTTTTGAATAGTAGTTAGATCAGCACGAGAATTTGGGACTGCAGCAGTGTTCACACCAGCAGCTAGCTGATGGCAAGAAAGGTGGGATTGCTCTCATTGTTCCGTATACTCTCCCAGGGATCAGGAGAGCAACCTTCCTTTCTACCCCATCTCACCAGGTGGCTGGCAGTATTCCTTCTTCCTGTCCTAGTTCTAACAACAACAGATAACTTTTTAAAAACAGATAGCTTTAAACTAATCAAAAGTCTGAATAAGATGCACAAAAAAGTGACCAGATAAAGAAAATACATGGGTTTAAAATAAAAAAAGGGTAAAAGGCCAATTCTTGACAAACCTGACCTATTTATGTCTTGATGCGACTGCCTCCTATTTAGGCCATTATGCATTAGTTTTAGGGTTTAAGAATAGGATTCAGAAGCAATAACATAATGCCAGTGAATAATTTGGGACTTTCAGCAAAGGTTACGTTGATACTCAGCACTTTTCTTATTATCCGTTTTAGTTTCATGTTTTTGTTCCATTTGTCTCCATGTTTTTCTCCTCCATTAGGCTCGGCATTCTATAAAGGACAGGCAGTGTACCTAGAAGTTGCTCACTAAGTACTTATTAAATCAATGAAAATGAAAAGCAATTATCTTTTATATGCTTGTTTTAAAATAAACGTTATGTGGCAGAAAAGAAATAGTTTTGCCAGAGGTGGAAAATGTAAATTTTTCTTTTTTTAAAATTTTAATGAAAATTTACAGATACTCTGGATTTCCATTCATTGATTGTTGCACTTTTCTCACTGTCCACCTTTCCCCACTAGTTAGTTCTTCTCTTTGAAAAGTAAAATTCTTTCATTATTATACAATCCCTCCCCCCAAGTCCACTCCACTATGCAGCCTTCGTTCTGGACTCCTGTCATGACAATAATACCTAATCATATATCCCTTTAAAATAATTCTCTCATCTGTTTCACTCTAGTATACATAATTTATCCCATCTTTTCAGTCTCCGCCCAACCCCGATGTCAGTCTTGTTTTGTAACAGTGGCACTATGAAGTATTTGTCCTTTTGTGTCTGAGATATTTCACTCAGAAAATGCAAATTTCTAAAGTTAGAAAGAAAGTGAAAAAAGAGTTGATGTGGAATCAACTAAAAGGGGTAAATCACACAATTTAACTCCAGCTGATGATAATGTGAATGCAGACCTGATATTTCTCTTCTTAAGAGAAGTCAGAATTAAAACATTCCTCTAGGTCATATAGCCCTGGTATACAAGTTGCCGTATTGTGGTCACTTGTGGTTGCTGTGAGGCTGAAGACTGTGACACTGACGTGTCAAATGTGTTAATGGTAGGTTACACAATGTGGACAGAGAGTGAGGTGGAGCTCCCCGATTAAAACAAACTTGGAAGGAGGAGTGGCATCCACTTCTGTAATAGCTTGCCTCCGGAAACCCTATGAACCTGGAGAGAGGATGACAGACACCCAAGCGTCGAGGACTCTCCTTCATAGGGTCTCTATAAGTCACCTACGACTCAACGGCACTTAACAATAATAACAAAGAGAAGTCAGAAATCTTACTTTTTAAGGGAAATTCCTGAGCTTTATATATTTATTCTAAATCATTAAAAACACTGTGAGTACTTTAGAAATATGTCTGTGAACAGAGTTCAGCCCATGAATTCTGTGACTCCTGAGCAATAGTTCAGGTCAGTTCACTTTCTGTTCACAACTGGTATATTCTCTAGTTGTCATTTTGGATAGCTTGCTTGGTTCCAGAGGGGAACGTGTGGAAGAGGGAGCAGGGCATGGAGGGGATGGGATGGGAGGGCAGAGAGGATGTGTTCTAAAGGAGGGGAGATGCACAGAGGAGGGAGCTGGGCTGCTGGAGCCAGTCTGTACAGGCTTCCGAGAGTCAGTTTTGCACATCTCTTCTCAACTGTGAAATCATACTGGCAGCCTGAAATTGACCAGGGAGCCACAGGCAGCAGTTGATGCTATAAACTAGAGCGCCTGTCGCCCCTTCAGAGAGCCAGTTCACCACTGGATGAAGGTGAGCCCTGGAGGCTGGCAGGGACATTTTCCATCTGTTGCATAGTCTAACTTCAGATTTACAAAACAGAGACAGTCGCTATGCGCGATTGTGAAAAAAAAAATTTCTAGCCAATAAAAGCCATGACATAATGTGATGCAAGGGAGCTCTGGTGGCTGAGTGGCAAGAAGCTGCGACGCAATCCCAAAGGCATGCAGTTCGAGGCCACTAGCTGCTCTGTGGGAGAAGGATGGACAATTTCCTCCCATGTGATTAACTGCCTCTGAAAACCCACCAGAGGGTCCAGCTATGGGCCCAGTTCTACATAAACAACAACAACGTGATGAAATTGGTATAGGTTCTCTTGTCTCTCCATTCAAAGAGTATAGTGGTGTCAAATACTGATTGGTGGATTCTCTACAAAGGTAGTGGTGGACCGTATATTTTCTGCCTTGTCAGATCTTAAAACGTGGAGGAGGCTGGGAAAACAATATGACATCGTTCATACCACCAAGATGTGTCTGGAAAAGTTGTTATCATTTTGACGTGACCATATATAGCAGATTTTCCAAAAACACTTTGAGAAGGAGGAAAGACATCAGACGAAAGTGTACACTGATGTGTAAGAAGCTGTGGTGTGTGTCTTACTCTTACTCTCTTTCCATTTACTCCTTAGTTATACCAGGGAAGAAACACACTTGGTTTGACTTGAAGACTCTAAAGCCAAACCCAAGACATCAAGGCCATGAACTTTCTCCCTTCTCTGCCTGTCATAACAGATGGACATGAAACAAAGGTAAAAGAATGGGAAAGGATGGCAATGTGGAAAGATGGGGAAATGGGGAACAAAGTGATGCAAGAGAAGAGAAGAGAGGAGGATAGCAGGGAGCCAG